AGAGGGAGAGAGAGAGAGAGAGAGAGAGAGAGAGAGAAGAGAGAGACAGAGAGAGAGAGAGAGAGAGAAGAGAGAGAGACTCAAACACACACAACACGCACATTAACACACTGTATAACATGCATATATATAGTAATATTTAATATTAACATACATATATTATATATATATATATTATATATATATTACTATACTATATATTAATTAGTTAGTTGTAGTGTGTGTGTTGATGTGTTGAGTGTGTGGTGTGTGTTGTAGTGATGTGGTGTGTGTGTGTGGTGTGTGTTGTAGTGTGTTTGTTGTATATATATATATTAATATATATATATATATATATTATATATATATATATAATTTATTAATATATATAATATATTATATGATATATGTATAATGATTATATATAGATAGATAGTATAGATAGATACAGATGTAAGGTAAATGTAATGTATAACTATTATATTTTATGTGTGTGTATACATATACTAATTATATATGTATATAATATATATATATAATAGAAGATAGATAGATAGATATTAGATATGACTATATATAAAATATAATAATACGTAATGTAATGTAACACACACACGTGTGATGCACACACAAGACACACACACACACACACGACCACTACGACAGAGCACAGCCTGAGACACACACTACAACAACAAACACACACGACACACACACGAACGCACACACACACACACACACACAACACATATAAAGGTATATAGACATATATATACTATAATATATTATATATAATATATATATATTTATATATTTATATGTATATATATAGTAATATATATAGTAGATATATATAATAATTGTGTGAATAATACATGTATATATATATATATATATATATATAAATATATATAATATATATATAATAATATATATACTATATAATAATATATATATATAAATATGTTGATTATAATTTCATTACATCATATATATATAAATGGTTATACAAATATACATATATATATACTATATATATATATATATATATATATATATTATCTATATATATATATATATATATTAGCTGTGTGTGTGTGTTGTGTTGTGTGTGTGTTGTGTGTGTGTGGTGTGTCGTGTGTGTGTGTGTGTGTGTGTGTTTACACATTTATTATATACAATGTACAGTATATACAATATATATTATGTGTGTTATATATATATGATATATATACTATACTTATATATAATATATATATATATATTACTTATATATATATATACTATATATATAGTAATATTATATATATAGAAGAGGAGAGAGATAGAGAGAGAAAGAAAATGAGACTCGTGCCTCGTTTGCATTTCCTTCGAGACGATTCTCGGCGTTTATTTTGCTTTAATTTTGCAGTCATTTTCCGCAAATGTGCTTCATGCGAAAAAGGAAAAGGTGGATTTATGGCCTTTCATCAGAGTGTTTTTTGTCTCTCCTCTTCTATTCCTTTTTCTTTCTTTCAGTTTATGATCTTTTTTAATTATATCCACAAAAAAAGGCATAATAGAAAGGGCGATAATTGGAAGACAAAGTTAAAAAGTAATCAAGTATGTCTACTTATATATACATAGATAGATAGATATATGGTAATGTGTGGTTGTTTGGATGTGGATGTTTGTGTGTATGCATATGTACGATATATACATGTGTGTCTGGTGTGTGTGTGTGTGTGTGTGTGTGTGTGTGGTGTGTGTGTGTGTGTGTGTTGTGTGGTGTGTGCTGTATATATATATATATATATATATATTATTATATAATATATATATATATATAATATATATATATATATATATATATATGTATAAATATAGTATATGTAATATATATATTTAATATATTTATTATTTTATATATATATATACTGTAATATATATAATACAAAATATATTATAGCTCACTACACGACACGAAGGATACAAATAGTTTGAAGTATATAGTATAATATATTATCAGTATATATAATTAATATATATATATATACTATATATATTGGTACATACATGATATATATATATAATACAAGAACCAGCTGGAACAAATGGTAGACACAATTGTTGTTTATATACGGTTTACGATGCCGGCAGCTTGCTTTCCAATGTTTAGGACCCGACCAAGCCTCAGTCGAAGCCAGGAACAATCATCGAGACAGAAGTAAAAAAAAAACGAAATAATCGTTTTCCTTGTGAATAGAAAGCACAGGCTATTGGACAAGAAAAATATTCAAGATTCATTTGAAGTGGACATCTACGGGACCACTCTGACCTCGCCAGACCATTAGCAATGATGAGGACCACAAGACCCCAGAAAAAACAAACAAAGTTAGTGTTGCCGAATTAATATGTCCACGAAAGGTCGCAGACTAGAATCTTAAAATCACGCCTAGAGCCAAGGAGGGGAGGTAAATTCTCACTTCCTGTTAAAGAATTATAAACTCATATAGCTAAATACAGCTGAATTCCCCGGTCA